TTTCAAATAAAGTAAATCAACATCATACTTTTGCAAACAGTTTTGAAATGTAACGGACAAAAACAATCACAGACTGATATCTTTTAATGTTGAAATTGATTGGGAAATGTCATTTTATTAGAAGATTGCATGTAAAATTTAACTGATGGACTTGCATGACATGCTTGATTGAACAGTCACACTACATGCATATTTTACATCTTGTAAATATTCTACATTGAACAGAATGTTAACCCTTTATGTGACAATTTTACTCATGAAGGAGAGAGGCTGCCATTCAATGGGTTAAAGCCTTTCTTTAATTAAATGGAAATTTTGAACAATAAATATGTAACATATACATACTGTGCCGGGAATGTAACCTTCTGCCCTGTGATTCTGAACAGCTCTTTAACAGCCGAGAGACACTCGAGCCCTGAGAGTCCAAGCCCCAAGAGTCCATCAAGCTAATTAGAGTTCATGTATATATGAATTGTAAATGTTCACAGTAAAATTTTAAGCAGAACAGCATGAAGCTTTTTATTTAGGTTTGGAGAATACATTTTTGCAGTGTGTATGTATGCATGTGTAAATATTTATCTCCTTTTGATTTTTGTAGAGTTGGAAAACCGCTGTATTCTTGCAGCATTTGCCTTTGAAAAGGCAGCAAGCAAACAAATTCCAGGGGAGCTATTTTTCGAAGTTGTGAATGTAAGTCAATTTTGTATATTTTATATGCCATTTAGCTGATTAGTGATGTCAGAACTTATTAACCCTTTAAGCTGCAGAGCTTCTCTATTGACAAGCAAAATCGTCTGGCATTAGACAAGTAGACAAAAATGTAGGGCATGCTGGAGTGCTTTGCGGCTTAATGGGTTAACTATAGACATTGTCAGATTTTTTGGTTAAAAACCCATTAAGTTAAGCTGCAGAGCTTCCCTATTGACGAGTAAAATCGTCTGGCATTAGACAAGTTAAAGGGGAAGTCAAGTCCGTAATGTAAACAAACGGTTTGTTTACATTTTGAACTGCTGTATTTTTTAAAATATGATGTACTGTCTGAATATCTAACACCGTTTTGGTTCGCTATACTTCTAAATGAGTATGAAATAGAATTTATGTTCAGAAAAATTCTAAATTTGGGCAATGTTCACATTAGAGGTCCTCACATTGTTATGAGCAGAACCGATGCGCAGAACGGACTTGACTTCCCCTTTAAAAAAAAACAAGTAGGGCGCGCTGGTTGTTGTGCAGTACAGTTGCAACATGCATGCACATACATAGGCTACCTGGATATATTTGGTAGTGATGTTAAGTTTCCTTGCAAGATCCTTAATGTTGCATGCATATAGAATATATTCTCATTTTTTGTTTCCAGAGTGATTTTGAAATCCAGCATACTGAGAGAATAAAGGCGTGTTCAACACCGCTATTGGCAACCGGATCTCTACAAGAGATAAGTTCACTTACCCTCATTGCAGAGGGTATATGGTATAGTTGCCATATTAAAAGGAAGTACTATAATCAGCACTATTACATGCTTATTAGCAGCGTACCGTAAACCTCCGAATATAAGCCCCCCCCCCGAATATAAGCCCCTCCCGAATATAAGCCCCCCCCGTGTATAAGCCCACCACATGTAGTAACGCTCACCTCATTCCAAATATAAGCCCCCCCCCCGAATATAAGCCCACTTGTTTATCAGTTATCACCATTTATTGTTTATCACTATTACCACTTACCACTATTATTCACTATTATTACTATGCATGCTAGTATGCTTAACACTTGTTTATCACTATTACTATACTTGTTTGTCACTATTACACTAACACAAAAGATCGTCCATGTATAAGCCCCCCCCCCTGTATATAAGCCCCTCCTTGTATAAGCCCATCAAAAATCGCTTACGGAAAAATATAAGCCCAGGGCTTACAGTCGGAGGTTTACGGTATTTTGTTCTTAATGCTGAATACCTCAATGGCCTTGGCAATGTTCCTCGAGCATATTCGGCTGGGAAGGATTGGTCAAACTCTGCTAATCGGTGAACTATAGAACACAAGCTAGAACTAAGATTATATGGCGATCGATTGTTGTAACATATTATAATAATGAGAGATTGAGAATGCACAAACAGGCCGGGGTTGCATGGTGATCGCGATCTAATTAATGCTAAGTTAAGTGCTTAGCCATGATTTCATGATAATATATAATACTTGATAAAACCATGCAACTCTCTAGCCTGTGTGTCAGTAACAGTGTAGTCAACTGGAACACAGGCTATAGAAACACAAAACGTACTACTGTGTACTTACTGTAATCTTAGATGTTACAAAATATATTTTTATATACAGTTCATAATATTGTTTGATTATAGCGTACTTGGATGATTAATTGCCTGCAGAATTATTGTTTAGCTGTTTCGTTTTAGCGTATCTTATTCAGTTGACGCAACATCATTTAACCAACGAAAGTGCGCGATGTTTCGTACTCCGACTTTAACCGTTATTTACTGGTTGTTATAACTAAAAAAATTGGCCAAATCAACCAAAATATTATTGGTGAATATCCGTACCATTTGTATTATAGTTAAAACAACCTATATTTATTTGGTTGAAATATGCTCAATTTGACAGTTTAAATTTTAGTCATTTTAACTTTTGAATATAGGTTGGAATTACCTTTTTTAATTGGTCAAAATAACCATAAATCTTTAGTTCAATCAACCAATAATTAATACGTTAAAATGACATATTACAGATTTATAGGTTAAAGTAACCATTTTCGATGGTTTGTTTTAACCTATTTAATTTTAGTTGTTTTAACCTATTAAAACAACCTATTTCTTATGGGTAAAAACCAACCCATTTTTAATGGTTTGTTTTAACCTATTTATTTCTGGTTCTTTTAACCTATTGAAATAACCTATATTTATCGGGTTGTCCTAGACCAAACCAAATAACCTATTTTTTTTGGTTATTTTAACCTATCAGTTTTTACAGTGTAGTATACATATATATATAAAGATATATATATATATATATATATATATATATATATATATATATATATATATATATATATATATATATATATATATATATATATATATATATATATATATATATATATATATATATATATAGCGTTTGTTATGGTAGCCTAAATATATAATAGACATTTTAATAGTGACACGTAGCTATAACATTACTGGCGTTAATTGTATCAATTAGTTGCATGGGAGACACGCAAGAGAGACGAGAGAATAAAGAAAAGCTTAATATTCTTGAGTCGAGGGATCTACCCTGGGGGGATAATAAGTTTAATTGTGTTATATGTTTTATATCGTATGTTTGTAGCATTTCGTTATTAGCTAGTTAATTTTATCAGACAGTGTTATATTATGTTGCGAAAGTATGATTGGAATGAATGTGCCTTAGACTTAGGATTTACACTTTATACTTATATACTAGGTTATACATTAGAATACTTTATTAAATATTTACAAAGAGCCTTGTTCGACTTAGTAATTCAGTCCGATCGAGCATTTGATGGGTATTGTGGATTTCAGTAGAGCTAATCAGGAACAGAAGCCAAAAATGCAACAGGTCCTGCGGCCCTGCGATTCCGGTGCAGCGCTCTAACCAACTGAGCTACAGAGGCCACTTTTCGAGTTCTAACCATGTACGTAGATGTTCATGTGTATATGTACTAGGATACTGCCATGATACAGTAGGTTATGGGTAACATCAAGATTTTTGTGGCATCTCACCAGAATGAATAATGAAAAATTTATTATTTTTTTTTTTTTTTGAAAAAAATTCATATTACTAGAATACATTGGTATTGAAGGAACTAGATTCTGTTCCGAAATATCACTAACTCGAACCGTCCTGACCGCGTAGCTCAGTTGGAAGAGCATTGGGCTGGTATTCCAAAGGTCGTAGGTTCGAATCTCATGCGTGGCCGGGCATATTTTTCAAGCTCGCCCGGTGTGGATATACACTCAGAGTAACACCACAAATATCATATTCACCTGAGTTCACTACAACAACAGAGAAAAAAAAAATTCATATTACTAGAATGCATTGGTATTGAAGGAACTAGATTCTGTTCCGAAATATCACTAACTCGAACCGTCCTGACCGCGTAGCTCAGTTGGAAGAGCATTGGGCTGGTATTCCAAAGGTCGTAGGTTTGAATCCCACCGTGGCCGGGCATATTTTTCAAGCTCGCCCGGTGTGGATATGCACTCAGAGTAACACCACAAATATCAGAATGAATAATATTTGTAATGTAAAATACATGCATGCAGCAACCCCTCGCCTATATTTCCAAACATTGAATTAGCATGAAGTATTCAGGAATGGCCAACACTGAACGCAGGCTGGCGTTCAAGTGTTGCCATGACAACACGATATTTTAAAATTTTATATTTTTTTGTATACAAAACGGCAAATAGTTGAAAGATTAGTACTTTTAATTATACAACAATGAATTTCCGAAATATATACTGTAGGTATGTTATTTTGCATTTTGTGAGCTTTGATTTAATGTAAAATTTAATAACTTGAAACGCAATGATTTGAACAATCTCAAGAAATATTGTTTAGACAGTGGGGGTGACTATATGAGCTCTCTATGGCAAGAGAATTTAAGTCTCAAAGAGGAAAATCAAGCTCTAAAGGATAGTTTATTTACTGCTAAATCTGCATTATCTGATTTAAATACAAAAATTAAAGAGCTCGAGAATGGGAAAGTCAGTTTAACAAAGACCTTGAAAATATTTTATGAAGATTTCTACCAAGCCCATAAGACTTGCTTTAAACAGCAAGGCCCGGTTTCAAGTGTACAGAACTACACAAACTGAAATCAACAGGATAGGCTCAGATTAATCAGGTTGAGAAACAACCCGATATAAATATAATGCCAACGAAATCACCATTAGCATAATTATAGACCACACGTTCGGAGGATTGTTTAGGTTGTTGATGGAATTTTAGGTCGAAAAATATAGCTTTGTGATCAGAGGCACAGAATAAAGACATACAGAAGTGTATCTTCTTATTAAAAGTGCGTAAGGGATTTTTTCAGTCCGCCATGTTCTTAGCAAGTGCCCTAAAGAGAGGCAGTCACCCCCCTGAAAACGTATTGAAAATTTAATATTCCAGGGGGGTGAATGCCTCTCTTTAGGGCACTTGCTAGGAACATGGCCGCCAGCTATTTCGGTAAAAAGCGCCTTACGGTTTTGTAATGGAAGTTACACTTCTGTATGTCTTTATTCTGTGTCAGAGGGTAGAGAGATGGAGTCGTCATCAGCAGGGCCTTTTTTAAGGATTTTTCCGTGGGGGGGCATTTTTTGAAAAGGGACCTTTCTGTGAGATAATATATTAGAGGGGGATAGCAATGGCTTGGCTGAAGGTCACGTGTGTGGCCAACATACCACTCATGAATGGGGGGGTCTGGCGGAGTACTCCCCCAGAAAATTTATGAAATTTGAATCCCGGAAATGTCATTTCCTGCATTCTGAGCATTCAAATTTGCTCTAACATTTATGCCAACTATACTTGTATTTCAAATAAAAGATGGAAAAAATGCACAAAAAGTAAAAAAGAATATTAACTGTAATTTCTCATTACTTATTAGAGGGATAATCCCCAGAAAATTTTTGAAATTTGAAACCCGGAAATGCTATTTTCTGCATTCTGAGCATCCAAAAAATAAAAAAATAGGTACGCTAAGCGTACATGTATCTGCGCAAAGGAAATCCATGGTTGCTATGAAAAAATTTCATTCATAATTATTAAGTAAACATTTAAATTTCGAAGTGACTATACAGCTGGCAGCCAGTTATTTAGTAATCTGCCGGCTATATAGTGACTAAGAAAAAATGCTAAGTCAAACAAAACACAACCCAACCCAGACTGCGTTTCACTTTCCGCACACAGTGCCTACCATACACTCTAACGGTAAGCTCGGTGAAAGCTAGCGCAAACAAAAGTTTTTTTATATTTAACTATAGTCACTATCATAAATACCCAGCTGCCGGCTAGTCACTTTGTTTATATTTGATGATATGACAAAAAATGTTCAGATTGCAGTCTCTTCTCTAGGCTGCAATCAACTGTCAGTCAACTGCCAGTGGCAGACACATAAACTGTAAAAATCTTGCACCAAATAATACAAATCACACTTATATAATAGTACCATTAATTAAAACATTGTAATTTAATACCATTAATTAAAATAGTGTTTTGAAAACCTAGTTTTTAACAAAATGTGTTCTCAGAATGCTGCAAATGCCATTTTCAAAGTAACATCTCACGAAAAGGCTTTAAGATGTTACTTTAAGATGTTACTTACTAACTTGATAAGCTTATTCATGTTCCGATACCATCATTTACAAAACTTGCCACATTCATTTACGGATTTTTTATGGCAAATAGCCAAATTCACCAATAGTAATACAGTACCCGAAACTCGTCGAAACTTCATATGCATTGCCATTGAACTAATTATACTAAGCACTCACTCTCAGTGAAAGGAGTGGATGTTCGGAATAATCTTGATGTTAGCTTGACAAAAATAACATCACTACCAATCTTTAAAAAAAATGAAAATACATAATTGACATTGTCAATACAATCTAGTGAACTTATATTTTAAACAAGGAAGTCTAATTCATATTCATGTAATTAACAGATTATGTCTTTATAGCTCTCCAAATTTTCTCCTTCTTATGTACTTTATTCTTACTAGTGAAAGCAATATTAATGTTTAATCTTCATATTCTTGTAAATACTTTTACTGGCACTGATTGACACAATATAAAACTTTGCACTGGACATTAAACTAGGGCCTTACCTTAAAAGCCTATGAAGGTTTCTTTAGACTCCTTGCCCTATTTAAAGTTGTAGCTTTAATACTTTTATGTAAATAATTACCATAATGATTGGGCGAAATAAATAAATTAATCTTCTAGGATAAAACAATCGTCACTCTGTAGCCAGGTTGGAATCCGTACGTGTTACGCTGGATATCTCCGGCGTAAAATGTTATTGCTATTTTACGCCATCGGCGGGCGGGCGGAGCCAATGAATGATCACCTGATCATCGGCGGGGCGTAAAACGCCGTAAACTATGACGATTGAAGAATTTTCTGATAAAAATAATAATACCAAATTATTTATATCGCCAGTTGGTCATTATGTTTGGCATGATGTTGATTTTTTTAATACTGATCGACGATATGACGAAATAAAAATGATCTTGAATTCTGAAACTTGTATGAAAAAAGTGGAAACACAGAATCACAGATTTCATACCATGTGCTATTCATCAATATTCATCGTTCGTCACGGTAACTGAAATAAGTTGTTTTTTTATTTTCTCTGGGTAATAATACACCTTCTTTTAGGTAACCTGAGCCATCTACGTAGTTATATTTTCAATTTTTGTGTTCCGACTATTCATTTAAACTAGTTTTGCATCAAAATATATATACTTTATGGGCGCCTTTATTAAATTTACCTTTTATTGTTTTAATTTTATAGAATAAATCAATTAAATTAAAATTAATTTTATAGATTTTTATACAACAGATTATTAAAATATAGGCAATATTAAACTTTCTTTTCAGTTACATGAAAATCAAGCATATATTAAAATTTCTTTGAATGGCTGAAAAAGGTAAGAACAAAAATTAGAAAAATATGTGGAATATAACTATAATATAAGAGTAGGTTTATTGGTTTAATATAATATAAATAAAATACAGTACAGTTCAGACTACAGTACCTTACATGAAGTCTGTCTTATTTTTAGTGTTAATTAAAATGTGTGACATGTGAAAAGGAAACATCGGGTGCCCATTCATGCAGAATTTGTAAATTGACATGTCATGCAATATCTCCATGCTGCATTACTGTTGTGAATGAGGAAGAGGGTTTTGGAAAAAGGGTTATTTGTCAGAAATGTTCTGAAGGTAAATCTGATAATGGGTAAAAGATCTAATTAATGCCTATAATAAATAAATAGCTTAAACCAGTTCAATTTAACTTAATTTAATTTAATTTAACTTGGTTTGTCACACACCTATATAACATACAAATAAAGAGAATTTTGACTGGATAGAGAAAAGGATAAATCCCAATTGATTTATCGATAACTGCACCCTTTATAACAATATTAACAGATGCCCTAGTCAGGTCAACCCATACCCCTTTGTCTAATATTAATAGGAATAATAGCCCTCTTTAAGACAGTCTTTATCTAATAAATAGTGCCCCCTTTTAACTCTAAGAAATTAAGAATTCGATTAAGTTTGTCATTTTTAAATAATATAATATATATTCAATGGAAATAATATTTCTTAAATTGTTACTTATAGACAGAAGTGAAAAAGATCTTATTAAAAGAAAAGAGTCAACTGAACCTCCTTCAAAAAAACTAAAGGTAACCTGCCCATCAGGGAAACAATCCAACTTGTCATCCTTTTTTTCTATATTATAGGAAAACTGGCTCTTTTTCCACAGGGTTGGTTTTGGATCCACACCAAACAATGTCTGTTCTGAATGGTAAATGTGACTACTGGTACAGAAAAAAGTCCATGATCAAACAGCATTTAGCATTGGGTGATAAGGAAAATATGTTGCATTATAATGCATCCGAGGTAATACACAGCCACTGTATTAAATGACAACGAATCTACTAGGCGATTTTACAGTTTTCATTAGCAACATAATCAGAACATCATATCTTTACCTTTTAGTTTGCCAAAGAGTTAAAGAAAAAACAAAAGCGAGTGGATCATGTCACCCAAAATCTTGTGAGAGTTGCACTTGGGGTATGTGAAATGAATTCAGCGGGTTGTCACTTTGAAACGGCTGTGGCCAACCACATTGCTACTGGATCAGATTTAGGTGACATTGGTCACAGCAGGAAACTCTTTCCTGATTTACTGAAAGCGAGTGAGATTTGGTTAGACAAAGAAGTTGAAAAATTTCTTTGCAGACCATTAAAATCGACTGGCATACCACCGCATTACTACGTTACTGCTGACAAGGCAACGTTGAATCGCATTACAAACCAAGCCATTGTAATTGTCACAATGGTGGACAGTTGCAGAAAAGCCATTTTGGTAAAGGCTCCCGAAGTCTACTCTAGCCGTTCCGGTGATGGTGATGCCAAAGAAAATGATGCATATGTGGATGAAGTCTCAGGCTCCCATGCAGAAGATTTGGCAAATGGCATTGTTGAGTGTATAAAAGATCAATATTGTGCCGACGTTTTACAAGGTTGGCAAGGAACATCGTGTGATGGGCCGTACCAGGCAAAGTACTTTGAAAAATCGTTAAATTCAGCCTTAGCACGCACTGATGACACCTTTGATGTCGTAGTTTGGGATCCTCCACCCTGGATTGATCTGGCCATGAAGGATGTCAAAGATGGAAAAATCAGTGAGGATGCTTCTTCATATCTCAACAGAATTATCAAGAGAACAATGAAACTCCACACGAAGTTTAACCGTGGAAAAATGTTTCAACAAGTTAAGTCCGTTGCCAACCATAATGCCTACGGTAAAGATGTTAAATTTAAAGTTCTGTCCGGTACGTGTGGAACCAGGTTTAGTACGTCGCAGTACAGTGAGTTCCTCAAACTCACTGAGAGCCTTCCTCTGTATATCGATACATTCAGAAAGTATGGCTACGATGAGGATGACGAGTACGAAATCGCAGGAAAAGACTTTGTGGTGGATCGTCTTGCTTTGACAGATCTTATGCGGCCGGCAATGGTCGACTTACTAGTCAGTCTTCAAGGTTTGTACGTCCCATCGTGGAAAATCTGCCTTTGGTGGCCAAAAGTCAGACAACGTATCCAGAAATGTATTCCAATTTCATTTGATTCTCCTGACCTTCCATTGACATCAAATAATATAAGAGATATCAGGAAAGGGAAATTTAAGGGAACAAAAGTTGTACCTGGATGGCTCAAAGTTGAGAAGAATGTCTCTGAAGAAGTGTCTGATGGGAAGAAAACTACAACAACTAAATGGCGTGCTCGAGATCTTAAGGACTGCCGAGTTGACTTGGAGGTTTTTGTGCCGCAATGATTAAGTCAATGGATCTTCGATTTTCTGGTAAATCTGTTAAACGTATGCAGAAGCAAATTGTAGCAGTTGACCTTGACGAGCTAATTTCATTGTGTTGCGGTCACAAAAATCTAGCTGCCGTTGTCGTTGATGAGGTAAAGTTTGAAATTATGGAAAGCAAGAATTCCTGTGCTTCTGGACCTATATTTGCAGTCTTCCTCACATCAATAATTTATATGGGTTGTTCAAAGGGGAACTCAGTCACATTGTGCACCGCAACGTCAAACAAGCCCTAAAATCAATTATTTGGGAGAAAATGTACCGCGAAATCATGAAGCAATGGTTCAATGTTCTCCCTGATAATGATGGGCAAAATTATGGGATTGCTAATGAACCCCTTTGTGATTTTTCCATTCTTGATGATACGGAAGCTCGCGCTTGTCTTGGTGGAAATTGTCTCCCATTACAGAATGTCTACAGAATGGAGTTCCAAAACGGTAATTATTCGTGTTGATTAAAGTGCCACTAACCCCCTAATTTTTTTTTTCAAATAATAAATAACCGCTATTTATGGAGTACAAAACTGGAAAATTTTTTTTAATCGGTTGAATTCTCGCAATTCTATGGCTTCTCAAAGTGTGCACACATTTGTTCCACGACCGAGTTTTGGGAGACTGGTGAGAGAGGAATGTGTGACGTCAATTGGTGAACTCATGCGAAGCCTCCTTGTAAACACTATACATTTACCATTACAAAGAAGCTTTAATCTCGAAGAATAATTCGCGGTTTTTTATATCTTTTTGCAATGTCTTCGACGGATGCATCTTCCGAGGCTTCTTCGTTCGCATCAGGGAACGATTATTTATCAGAATATGACAAAATGTAGGGATAGAAGGCTTAGGAGCCGATATATCTGGTTTCAAGCGATGATGATGATGCCTTTATACCCGGCTTTATATCATGCCTATGCAGCTACGCAGCCTATGCTCGGGTTGATGATCCCGTCGCTGATGAGGAGTGGACATGAGGGCGAACGAGATCATTAAAGACGAGATATTGAAGCGTTTGCATGAAACTGCAAAACTTTATGAGTGGTAAGTCGCAAATTTTGCTTATACTATATATGCTAAACTATACTATACTATACTATACTATACTATACTATACTATACTATACTATACTATACTATACCATACTATACTATACTATACTATACTATACTATACTATACTATACTATACTATACTATACTATACTATACTATACTATACTATACTATTATTACTATACTATACTATACTATTTTAATAAACATATTTACGTTAAAGATTATTTCATGGCAAGGCCACTCATGTTGTCAATATTACATAATTTATATTAGGTGCAAATGTGAAAATTGTAGCCTGGAGTTTTTGAGTAATTGGCAAGAATGCAAATATATTGCTGTTGTGAGCTGGAATGTTGCTACTTAACCATTTAGTAATAAGCTCCTATGCACCCTACCTACAAATCTCTCTAACACCAGGCAATTTTATTTGACAAAGGAACATGCGGAACTATATGTTCATGGACTTTCCCAGTATCAGGCAGAGTAAAATTACAGAACACCATTTGTTTCATATTTCACTTAGATAATGATAGACCATTGAGAGAAATGTTGGAAGCTGCACTGTGTCTCAATAGTGTGCTCATATTTATCTTACTCTGTCTAAACAACCAGACAATGTTACTAAACATTAATGGGAGAGTTACCTATATTGAAACTCAATAGACCTTACCGTTTATTTACTTTTGACCCAATGCCTCGTTTTCATGTGATATTAAAACTCATGTTTTGTGCATAAGAGAGTAAAGAATAAGCTTGTGATTGGACTTAAGATCAATGAGAGACAAACTTGTGCAGGAAACATGAATATTTAACTTTCATGTGCACCTGCCATGCTAAAATAGGCAAACATGGAAACGAG